GGGAAGGGGACGGAGGGAGAGGGAAGGGGAGGGAGGGAGAGAGAGGGAGAGAGAGGGAGGGAGAGAGAGAGAGAGAAGACAGGACTGTTTCGGTCCCTTATAGTGTGTGCAGGCTACCTGCCCTAGGGTGGGTGTAGCTCTCACACCCTTAATCTCAGCCAGAACTATGCCAAACCAATCACTGAACTGATTTACCAATCACACATCCTCAATCCCAGTATCACGCTCTCTAGATTCAGCCACCTCTGAAAAATCCCCATGACCACACGAGGATTTGAGGAGATGGCTACACACAAACCATAACAAAAAAATAAAACTACGTTGTTTAACCAGTGACTACTATGAGACTTTCTAACAAATGCAGCAAATTAGCTGATACATTCCCTATTGAATATAGTCAAAGGCTTTGGTTTACAAGGCCCTATCAATTCAGTTTTATCTCTATTCATCCTTCCTTATACATATAATCTTAATGAATCTTAATTAAAAACTTAAAATCCATACAGAGCTACCACATTAGATACTGCAAAAGACCTTCTAATTAAAGGGGAAGAAACTGGAGTGGGGGATTTAGCTCAGCAGCACAGCGCCTGCCTGGCAAGTGTGAGGTCATGAGTTCGGTTCCCAGTACCAGAAAAAAATTTAAAAAATAATAAAGGGGAAGAAACTGATAGGCTAAATACAAAGTTCCAAATATATCCTGTCTATAAGAAATACACTTTCAAAATAAAAGAAACATACATATTAAAACTAAAAGAATAAAGAGAGGCACCATGAAAAAACAAATAATAAGAAAGAACAATACAAAACAAGGCAGACTTGAGACAAGAGTACCACCAAAAGAAATAAAGAACATTTCATAAATCAGTCAATTCACCAAGAGAGAATAATCCAAAACGTACACATATATACTTAATAAAGCTTTAAAATACAAAAGGCAAAACTTAAAAAAAAAAAAGGAAAGCCAAAATAGACAAATCAACAACTGCAGGTAGAGCTTGCAAAACTGCTCTTTCAGTAACTGACAGAACAGATAAACACAAGGTAAGAATGCTGGAGACTAAACACTATTAACGAATTTTTCCTAACTGACATTTATAAAACATAACACCTAACAATAGCAGAATACATATTACTCTCAAGTACACATAGTGTTTCCACCAAAAGAAATCATAAGATAGGTCATACAGTAAGTCTCCATCATTTTTAAATTAAAATTATATAAAAGGTACGTTCTGTAATAATAATGGAATTAAATCAGCATCCAAAGTGGTGAGATTATGGGCATAGGCCACTACAGCATGCCCAAATTAAGTAACAAAATATAACTGGTAAAATATACAAATATCTGCAAATTCAAAAATTCACTTACATATAATCCATGAGCTAAAAAAAAGTAAATTTTCAGATTTTTAAATAAGATAATAATAAAAATATAACCCATCAAAATGAATCAGTAGTGCAAAGGGGAAAAGTTAAACATTAAGTATTTATTAGAAAAGAAAGATTTGAATCAATGACCTAGGTATCTCCTCAGAAAGCTAGGAAAAGAAAAGCAAATTAAACATAAAATGAGGATTAGGAAAGAAATAATAAAGATAAATGAAATCAGTGAAATAAAAAATTAAAAAATCAACAAAACTGAAATGTAAGTTTTAAAATACTGGCAAGATTGATTAACTTCAAGCTAGACTGACCAAGGTAACAAAGAGAAAATAGAAATGATCCAACTGAGGAATAAAAGAGATACTACTACAGCTCTTAAAGGCATTGAAAAGAAGAATATTTAGACAAAGTAAATTCCTTTAAAAACCCAAGTTACTGTAACTCAATATTTAATAAAAAAATGTAATACAGCTATTAAAGAATTAAATTTGTTGTTAAAAACCACTGCACAAAGAAGACTCCAGGACTTCACTGTTGCACTTTAGTAAACATTTAAGGCAGAAACAATGCTAAGGCACAAACTCTGACAAAAGAGGAGGAATACTTTTTAATTCATGTAAGAGGTAAGTATTGCCCTTGTACTAAAATCCCAGCATTCCTCCTAAACACAGATACAAAAATCTGCAAGAAAATGTTAGCAAATCAAATCTACCAATATATGTAGTATATAAATCATAGAGTTATTCACTGCTTTAAGACAGGGACATATTCCAAGAGATGTGTCATTAGGTGATTTTTGTCACTGTGTATACATCATAGGATACACTTACATAAATTAAGACGCTTATGATGTCATTAGGCAACACGATCTTATGGTACTGCCATTTGTATGTGGTTCATCCCTGACCCAAACTTCAAGAGTTCATGACTGTATATGAAAATATATTTCATATTTAACTAATTTATATTATATTAAGTTCTATACTGAATGTTATAAATTTGTATTATATATTTGCAATATATAATATAGTTTATGTCTTTATATAGATATATAGATACTATATATATATATTCCCCCTTCCTCCAGTACTGGGAATCGAACTCATGACCTTGAGCTTGCCAGGCAGGCACTGTGCCGCTGAGCTAAATCCCCAGCCCTGTACATATACCTATGACCAAATGTGTTTCTCCCAGGAATACAGGCTGGTACAACACTGAGAAATCAAATCTATGTATTTCTCCATATTAACAGAACAAAGAAAAAAAATATGATCGTATCAGCTGGTACATTGAAAATGTAGTAAAATTCAATATTCATTAAAGATACCAAATGACAGAAATCTAGAAGTAAAAGAGTTTCCTCAATCTGAAAAGGCATTATGTGAAAATACTACAGCTCAAGCAGAGGTTGTATCTCAGGGGCACAGCATTGCTTAGCATGGGCAAGGCTCTGGGTTCAATCCCAGCACCGTAAGAGAAGACACCTCACAGGAAACATCATGATTAAAGGTGAAAGCCTAAATGCTTTACCCCTAAGACAGGGGGTAAGGCCATGATGTCCATGTACTCTGATCATTTGTATTCAACGTATCAATAGTCCTAGCTACTGATAGAGGCAACAAAAAATGAACAAATGAAATAAAAGACATAGATGAGAAAGAAAAAAGTAAAACTGTCTTTATTCACACATAACATAATCAAGTACCGAGAAATCTACCTAAGAACCTACTAATAATAGTATCTGTGAATTTAACAAAGTGAAAAGACAAAACCTTAATATACAAAAGGTAATCATATTTAGATACTAGTTACAAACACAGAAAATAATTTTTTTTAAAAGTTGCATCTACAATAATATTCCCAGAAAAATAGGGAAAAAGTAATAAAGCATATGTAAGACCTCTACACTGAAAGTTTCAAAACACTGCAGGAAAAATGAAAGATGGCTCAAATAAAATGGACAGCATGATAAACTAAAACACTTGGTATTTTAAAAAGCCAAAATTACACTGAGCAATCTCACACATTTTTGTACTTTTCTGACTCTACTAAGCCCTTGCTCCCTTTTTTTTTCCTTGCTCCCTTTTTTTCCCTCATTCTTTTAAAAATCTCAAATCATGTCTGCACAAATTGGAATGAATTGCAGCTATTTTCCCTACTGTAATTGTTAAATCAAATCTGTTTTCACTGATTTAACTAATATCTAGCGTGTTTATCTTTGACAGTATACTGCTAAAAACATAGTTTCTAAAACTATGGCTAAAACGTTGCACTATGGTGATTCACCTGAGCAAACAATCCCATAAAGATCATACATGGGAGACCAATTTCCCTAAACATCTCTAGCTCACCACTCTGCAAGTATAACCTTTGCTCCTGTAAACAAGTATAAAGGTTTGATCTGCTGTCTTTTCTTCTGTGGGGCCTTGCAGCCTAGAAATGACTAAAGATAACAATGAATCCTGTACTCTCTTTTAACTCAAAAGTATACAAACAGAGCTTATGTTAAAGACTTAAATTTAACTTCTTCTATGAAAACACAAACAAGATAACAGATTCTCAAATGTCTTGAAAGTTCATTTTCACCAAACTGCTCTTTCCTGCTTCTGCTAATTTTCTAACTATTTTTACTCAGCTTTCTTTACTTTCCCTGAGGGAGTTCGGTGTTGATGTTCATGTTTTTTTTCCAGCATCCCCAGGCATCTCATCCATTTAATGGCTCCAATTAGTAATGACTCCCAAATCATATCTCTACGCTCTTACTGCAACTCAAAATCTACATTTCCAGTATTTCCTGGACATCTTCAAGTATATGTGTCCCAAACAATTTCATTAACTAGCAATATATTTTTTAGGTTCTCATATATTTGAAGTTATCATAAATTATTCTTTTAAATAAAATTTTCTCTATTCACGGCTTATCTATATTGGTTAGTTTTAGTACTTACTGATGAACTATCAGTTGATTCACTTTTCTCATATTTCTGTTTCTTGCTCTTTTTTTTCTTCTCTTTCTTTACTTTTTTTGAATGCTTATCTTTTTTCTTCTTTTTCTTCAGAGAATGTTCCTATAATCAGCAGATGGGAAAGGAATTTAGTTTTTGTATTATTTTAGAAGGAAACGAGTTAAGGGGAAAATATCCATATTCTACAAACAACTGAATTCTTCTATGAAGGGAAATAAAAAATATAACTAAATAAATAAAAACTTCTACAAAACTTTAATGTGCTTTTTGTAATACAGGCACTACTAAACAAATCATAGTTCAGATTTCCTACCAAAACATATGATGAAAATTTTTATTTGTAGATTCATGTAATATAATCAAATACATACTTATAAATACATGTGTGTAAATAGATACACACACGCACACATGTGCACACATATATATCCCTGCATGTGCCCAAAAAAATGTATATAAGACTAGTAGGCCAAACCAGGAATGGTACCACAAGCCAATAATCCCAGGTACTTGAGAAGCTGAGACCGGCAAGTTCAAGGCCAACCTGAATAATTTACCAAATCCCTGTCGCAAAAAACAAAAAAGGGCTAGCAATGTAGCTCTGTGGTAGCGGTTCCCTGAGTTCAATCCCCAGTACTAAAATACAAATAGACAGACAGATAGACAGACAGATAGACAGACAGACAGATAGGCAGATAGACAGACAGTAAAGATAGATACTGTAATTAGATATAATGATAAAAATATAAATAAGACAGACAGATACCATATATAGATAATTAAATATAATGGTCAGTTAAATTAGCATGGATTAAAACTGCAAGAAGGGACCAGAGGGGAGGCAAGGAGAGAGATAGGCAGAAGGAACACAAAGGATACAAAGTTTCTTTGTATACAAAGATACAAAGTCAGACTGAAGGAATCAGTTTTAATGACCACAGGTAATAATAATATATATTCCAATAACCAGGCATGGCGATGTATACCAGTAATCCCAGTACTTGGGAGGCTGAGACAGTTGGATTGCAAGTTTGATGCCAGGCCTGGGCTATATAATGAATTCAAGACCAGTCTGATTTAGATGATGATGAGATCTGGCTTTAAAAACATAGATAGGGGCTGGGGACTTAGCTCAGCGGCAAAAGCGCCTGCCTGGCAAGCGCAAGGTCGTGAGTTCGGTTCCCGGTACCGGAGAAAAACCAAAAAA